ACTTGTCAATTTTTATGTTTCTTCCGTCAATTAACGTGAAAATATTAACGGAAGGACCAAATTAGGGTTAAAACGGTAAACAATAGGGACTAAATCAAGAATTTTTTTTAGTTTAGGGATCAAATCGAAGGTCCGTACAATAGTTTAGGGACCAAAATGGAGTTTTAACCTTACTAAAATGAAGTATAGTTATTGTCTGATATGAATGCCATCGATCCATTGCTTTCGTGCTTCAGTGCCATGGAATAAGAAAATGGAATATGCTGATATATAGGGCTGGGCATGGTATGGTTCAGTTACATTACCACTCTCAAATGATGGTAATCGTTTTAAGTGGTAATGAAAAAAATTTACCACTTCCATACCAATTGATGATTTTTTTGGTAATGGCTGCCAACCGTTTTTAATGATAATGAAACTTGCCTTACTAATACCATCCTATATTACCATTTTTAAACTTATTTTCTCCATTATCAATTAATTCAAGTTATTCAAAATCCAATCTTAAAAGCTCAAAATTATCTTAAAAACGTATTTTCTTCATATCGTTCTTCATCATCTTGAAGCATACAAATATATAATTATCCAAGATATGCACACATAAAAAAAAAAAAAAAAAGAAGAAGAAGAAGAACCACAACAATTGAAAACTACGGAAAAAAGAAAAAGTGAGGAAGGTTCCCGTTCTTTCTCTCCTTCGAGCCCCCTCCCCCCAATTCCAACCATCACCACCATCCGCATCGTCACTGTCACCACCACCATCATCATTGACCATCACCTCCAGTTTCGATCTCCATCTCTAGTAGCTATAGGTTTCTTCATCCATCTCGCTCCATCGTCGGAAATTCATCTCCAGATCTGCTTGTCTCCGTCTTGTAGCAGGTGTAGGCCACAGATATGAGGGTTTTTGAGGGGTGGAGAAAAGAGAGAATTTCTCTCTCTGGCGGAAGAGAAAGAAGTAGGGGGAAAAAGTTGGGTAGGGATAATGAGATATTACTATTTATATTGCCAAATTGTTGGGAAATTTTCAAAAATTACCACCGTTTTAGGAAAAAAATTATTAAAAATATTCTAAAATTGAAAAAAAAA